GCACAATGAAATCTTCATTGCAATCTTCAGTGAGAGTATTCTCTCCCCATAAATGAGCCTTCTAACCCAGATCATTTATTAAAGATGCATATTTCATCTCTGCAGAGTATATATCACAACTTCCTGGCAAGGGTAATTGCGTTTCTGGCAACTTAAAATTCCTTGTGGAAGTTTAAATACCCCTCCCTATCAAGCAAACAAAACAGCATCAGGAATCACATAGTTTCACTGCTGTAAAATAAGTTAAATCAATGTTAACTCATTTCCTATAGTCCTTATTACAGTACAAGTCAATTTCAAATCATATTGCTTTTAATGGTATTTCAACATTTGAAACACATGACAGGAAATTTGACAAATTCCATCTTAGTAAACACATTGATTCCCTTGGTAAAAACCTCTCAAATAATTCAGCATCTTATTAAAATAAAACCCACAAAAAAGTTATTGGGAGCTAAAAGAAAATCTGACAAGGACTAAAAGCCATATCTAGAAAGAATCTAAGTCTTTTGTCAATATTTTGAGGAAATGTACAGCTTTAAATAATTTGCTTGGTTAGCATTTTATCTCTGTTGGCTCGTTCCAAAGACAAGTTTATTACTGCTATGACATATTAAAGAAGCAAAGATCAGAAATTAAAAGTACTAAGCTGGACTTGGAAATGAAAATGGGCAACCACCAATGTAAGAGCCACAAAGGGTAACCACATCTATTTTCATTTCCCCTGATTAACACCAGTGTGGTTTTAGGTTGCATATTCTTGTGGTGCAAACATCAAGGGAAGGCATCAATATGGACCTTAGAAATTTCAATGGTGGGGGTGGGGAGGAACAAAAACCAAGAACTTAACTATTTGCCTCCCAGAATACACTAATCAAAACTCCTTCGGAGTAAAAAGTTTTCTTACTTTAGTCAAATTAGGTAAAATAAAACACACTCAATTCATCCTTGACTTTACAAGTGACCTTGGAATCTCTCTTCCTAATTACAGTTAGCTAAGGTTTTAAGAGTCATCAGTATTTCTACAGACACACTTTTAATGTTTCTCAGCACTAGCTCCTGGTTGGCTAGCACCAGGGGCAGATATACGGCAGGGCGAACGGGGCGGCCGCCCCGGGCCCCGTGCTTCAGAAAGCCCCGCGCATGCACCGTGGCACCACTGCGCATGCGCATGGCATCACTGCGCATGCGCCGTGGCAAAGGGGGGGCCCTGCAGAAGTATGCTGCCCGGGGCCCCGCAAAACCGTCATCTGCCCCTGGCTAGCACAGAGAAGGTATAAACTTCTATCAAGCTGTTTGGAAAATATTACCTCAAAGGTTATTTTAGTACAAACACCACAACACTGGAAATATTCCTAACTGAAGGGGATACCTTTAATAAAGATCATATCTTAATAGGATGAAACTTCCAAATCTATAAACACAAAATGTCAAACAAGCTGTATGTGTGTGTACACACATGTATTATCTTTTGCCATCTACCCTTAAATCACTACTCACACAGACACTGACAGACATGATAAACATTCATTCTAATACAACGAAAAAACTACAGTGCATCAGCAAAGAGCCTGTGCAGTCATTGCAACAATTATTCAGACGAGTTTTTTCTTCCACTAATGTGGGTATTAACTGAATAGTTAAGAGTTGCCCTTCTACAGACAGAAAATACTTCAGCTCCTGCAATCACAGTAGAACTAACTAATCTTAAAAACACAAAACCACACGCACTTTAGGTAACAGCCTCAAGGACATGGAATGCTGACTTGCTGAGGTAAAATTTCACCATATTTATAACCTTCAAAAGAAAACAATGCACATCACAATAGTTGTGTGTTATGTATAAAACAGAAGAGGTTCTTTCTGACCCCAGAGCTGAGTATAATTTTTTAAAAAAATCAAAATTTGTTAAGGAGGTTCAGCTATACTACTGAAATATGAGTATTTTAACAGTATAACTAAATTAAATGCTACTAGACTATTTGTTGTTTTTAAAATTAAATGTGTTAGTAAACTTATAAACTTTCACACTATACTTCATTAAACACTACTAATGCTTGAATCTAAAATAGATATGTTTGAAATCTACAAATATTCTCTGTATATGCACAACTGGAAATACTTAGAAACCTACATTGTTTTAGGCACATTCCAGCTGACTAAAAATGGGTTGAACTTCAGTCACACGATACATAAATCCCCTTTCTTAAAACATGTCAGGATATGATTTAGTTAAAATATGCAATACTTCTTATTTTGTGACATAGGAAAGAACTCATCTATTTTGTCTCCTATCTATAGCTTTTGCCTCATTTGAAGAACTGACACATTTAAACCTTCCAAGGGGTAAAAATGGAAAGCTAAATGAATATATCTATCCAGTGTTCTACAGTTAGATCTTATTTTATGTTAAGAAGTTTAAGTACTAAAACTTATCCTTATATAGGAATACAAATAACCTAGATTTCCTTCCAGGAAAGCAAGCACAAGAGTGATGAGCTGTTCTTGTAATAATATTTATTATGACTATTGTTATATGAGAAGGAAAAATTATTTCCTTAGAAGTACTGGTGACTATCAAGCTACACCATTTTTAAGACATCTGAAACAAACAAAAAAGCCCACTACCACAGTCACATGTACATTTAAAAAACTTACAATATTAAGCCAAGCTACAACAAAAAATGCCCAAAAATATTTCACTTTGTTTTTTAATCCAATAAATTAAATATAAAAAATTGTTTCATTTTTCCCAATCTGCTTTTAGAGTGTGCATGCCTGACAAGGTAGAACTAACAGGAACTGTGATTTGTGCTAACTAGCTATTGATCCAGTCAGACCTAGATGTTATGTACAAGAAACAATAAAAGAGAAGGGGCCAGGAAGGATGTTATGTGCAACTCCATTTAAAAATGGAAAGAAGGGGCCCAAATAAACCAATTTATGGCCTTGCCTGGTCAAAGCATGGAGAATGCTGATGGACTTCCTAGAGTCTGCTGTGCATGCTAAGCACTCCAGCTTCAAATGAGAACCTCTAGTGCTGGGCATTAAACATGAACAAAGAGACAAACAGTGGGGGCTAGCATTCATGCACCAGAAAATGAAAGCTGGAAATCCCACCAGAACTGGAACTGGAAAGTTATACAGCGTTTTCCAACCATCCAAACTCCCTTTTCATAACACCTATCTTTACCTAAATTCCAAAGACAATAAAGGGTACTACCAAAAGCATCTCTTAAGAGGAGACAGTGAAAATAGATCTGAACCAGCCTAAGGTTAGCAAAATGAATCAACAAAACACGATATGTGTAGATGATATAAAATATACACGGATGTGCATAGAGTCAATTTTACATATAGTGAGGGAACGGTGTACACACATGGCTTAAATCAAGGACGATAGAAAAAATTGCTTAGCTAAAATTAAAATCTGAAATAATCTTTAAGGAGCTTTTATAACTGTTTTCCACCCATTTTTTCCATCTTAGAATAATAATGCTCTCTAGATAAGAAAGAAAACCAAGAATGAAAGCTAAATGGTTAACATCAAACATCTGTCAACAAAACATGTTTTATATTAACACTGAGTCTGATTTTATATTTTCTTTAATGTTAACAATGGTAGAAACTTCTTAGCTCAGCATCACATATTTAAAATATAAACAGAAAAATTGAAAGAGACTATGCAACACTGACACCAAACATTTTTGCTGGATTCACCAAAACCTGCATAAATACAGAAAATATGTAGATATTATATTAAAAAGTAAATATTGCCACAGCAGGAAGCTCTTATCTGTCAATGTATGTGTTTCTGTAAATTGAACTGAGAGCCCAACCTGAATGCTTACCATGTCTATTTAAACTCCCTGCTTACTTAATCCAGTATTAAAAGTTAGTCAAATTCACTCATGTTAACACAGAAGTTACATAGTTTAGAATACTGCCTAACTGAAATTAAAATTAACATGTTATGGGCACAAACTACTAGTTTAAAACCACCATCCTAAAAGCTGTAAAGATACCCATTATCTGTTTCTTCTACAGTAAAAAGTTCAATTTGTTTTAAGAAGCAGAGAGCCACTGTTCATTTAGCCAATGAAGGTCTAAGTGTGTAGGTTTATAGGGGAGGGGCCGTGTTTTGTTCCCAATCTGAGATGTGGATTCCTTTCACCCAAGCCCACAAAGGTTCCCTAAATCACTGATCACCTACCAGTAAACTCCCCTGTTAAATTGTGGACCAAACATATTTTCCTCTTTAGAGTTCACAGAGAAACAATTGTTCCTTTGTGTATGAAGAGATGCCTAACATAGTCTTGCAAAGCAACAATCCAAGCAAACTACTTCATCTCCTGGAAAAACTTAAAAAACAACAAATAGTCTAGCAGCACCTTAGAGACTAACAAAACATGTAGCTCTCATGGGCACAACCCACTTCTTGACCACAAAAGCTCATGAGCCCATCTAAATGTTTTGTTAGTCTCTAAGGTGCTACTAGACTATTTGTTGTTTTTTAAGTTTTTCCAGTTACAGACTAACTTGGCTACCCCTCCAATACTATCATTTCCTATTAGCCGGTCCCTATGCAAGAGACAGGCATTTATATAGGGGGTTGCAGACATACAGAGATGACAATCCTAACACCTCTTTACCAACCCTGATTAGATAATTACATTTCCATATTCAACAGTGCTTTGAGAAAGGATGGGTATATAAAGCTTGTTTGTTTCAATTAGAAACTGATCTGCTCGGGATGGTTGAAAAACTGCAGAACAGGGCAGATGGCCCATCTGACTCAACCTTAAACACACCACCTAAGGAATTCTGCGGGTAGGAGGGAAACCCCCAAGTACCCCTTGCTCCCCTTCCATGACACTAAATCAATCAAATTGAGTTGCCTGTGCCGGGAGGGAGGTTCCCCCAGGAGTTAGGATTACACAAACCTTTTAAGAGAACAACCAACCTAAATTCACGCCAATGAAGGGATCAGAAAGAAATACCTTCTTCGCTGGGATTCTGGAGTTTTGACTTCTCCCACGGTGCCAGAGGTTTGTCCTCCTCTTGCCCCTCCATCAAGACCTTCTCGCTGGGCATGTACCAGGTGGAGTTATGCTCTGCCATCAGCGAGTCCAAGTCTATCGTGCTCATGGCCCCTTTGCTGGTTTCCGAGCAACAACTGTTCAAGTCGGCATCCCTGTTCTGGCTGGGGTACTCGGCCTTTTTGTTCTTCAGGCCCAGGGGCTTGTCCTCAGAGATGCTGAACTGCTGCCGCTGGAGCTGGATCTGCGCTTGCAGAATCTCTAGTGGGTGGATCTCGTCCTGGGCCGAGGTGCTGGTGCGCCCCTGCTCCAGGCCCGGTGTGCCAGGGTGAGCACACCCACCCCCACCCAGGAGACC